TCAGTAAATATTTAAAGCTAATATATTCAAAATTGATGCTTGCAACAATTCTTTGCCAAGATACACGTTTATGGTAAAATTTTGGAAAATGGGGGTGGCACCGCCCACTTATGGTCACATAAGTATCATAATCTCGGTAACCGTTCTACCAATTTGTAGCAAGCTTGGTATGGTTATTGTGCTTGTCACATATGTACAAGCAAAACGTTGAAAATTATTGAAATCGGACTAAAATTGAGGCCGCTTTTCATATAACGAAATAAATATATTTCGAAATTTAAGGACGCTAATTTACTCAAAATTTATACACCCCAGCTTACCATGTAGCGGTAGCTTTCGGAAAGGTGAAAATCATATATTTAAAACTTACGCCGGATATTCAAAGTTATATTTTGTTCTGAAAGAAAAGCAATTTGACAAGGGATGATAGAATTTCGTTCCAAAATACATCATATTCTCGCCCTGTCGAAAAAATTAGCCAACACTAAAGGCAGTGTCACACGATTGGTACATTTGTGCAAATGCAAGAAAAATATTTGTGCATTCACACGATTGGGATACGAGTTGCACCAAATTTTGGGCAAATGCCCAATCGAGTGACACTGCCTTAATACATATATATTTATGTTTACTTGTTTCAATAAAAATAGTTATAATTTTTTCACTTAATGTGATTGAGGTTTTACATGAATCAACGTTAAGTTGTTATTTGATTGCAAATTAGAAAGTACCCGTGGCCCGACTTGAATTGAAACTTCAATTGCTTGCGCGTGAAAGATGTCTATACTCATTAGGGTGGAACAAAAATTCATGCTTCGGGGAAAAGGCTAAAACGTTAAGCTCTTACCTCTAGGATTTTTTTGAAAATAATAATTTTGAGAACTGTATTTTATTAGAAAAACACTTTTTCGTAGAAATGGTATAGAATTCTTGAGAATCCATACTTTTCGATCGGAAACTTCTTTTCCTCTTAAGGAGACTTCCAGTAGCAATACACATTTGTTTAATTAATCATTTTTTAATAGTAACTATTTTTATAGGTCGTCTCAAAACCCCAAAAATGCAATGAAAAATCGTTTATAATAAATAATGGTCAAATAAATAATGGGGTATTATTATTCGGAAGTCTTCTGAAGAGAAACAGGGGATTCCGATCGAAAGCATCGATTTTCAAGAATTCTATACCATTTCTACGATAAAGGGTTTTTTTCTATTTAGGAAAATTCTAGGCAGTGAGAGCATAAGGTTTTAAACTTTTTTTTTTTGACCACCCTAATGTACATAGTACATACATATGTGGATATGTATTCGGCTTTTAATTTTTCATTTATATATATGTATGTTTCATTTCGTTGATTGTTATGCGTGTGGCGCTTTGAGCTAGTCGATATTCAAGCTTCGACTTTGCATGCAAACAAGTTCAAGTGATCCACACTAGAGATGGGCGCGGGATAGCGGAGCCCGCGGGACCCACGGCACGGATTTAAAATTGGCCGGAATGGGCGGTATCGGGGAGATCTGTAAAAAATATAGCGGGCGGAGCGGGACCAAAACCCTTTCCCGACACTCCCGATAAAACCGCAACCCCCGCAAATTCACAGAATTTTCCTTAAAAACGATGTTTGAAAAATGAACTTTTAATGTTTTATTGAGACGAAAACGAACAACAAAGCAAAACAAAATAATCAGAAGATGACAGATATTTCATTATTATTTAAAATTAATTTGAAAGCATAAACATTTTTGTCAACCTTCGATCGGTTTGCAAACCACGCCACACTTGTTGAAATCTCAACCGATCGTTTCAATTTGTTGTCCGTTTGTAGTCTGCTTTAGAGATAGATTTCGGGACCCGCGGTACAATTCTGAAAAACGTTGGGATAGGCGGGTTCGGGACTTAAATATCGAATTTTGGGATGGGCGGGATCGATATTAAATATTTAGTCCCCTGCCCATCTCTAATCTACACCTCTATTGCTTATGCCCTGTAACGCACTTCAGCTACCAACCAACCAAACAATGGCTTACTTTTGTTATTCGACACTTTCTATTGCTGAAGCATGCGTTGATGATTTCGTATGTACGTAAAGGCAAACCTTCCATGATTGTCATAAAAAAGATACATTTCGTATGTACGTATTTTCGATAATCATGCCAAAAAGTGAAAAGATATGTGTGTTTGTAGGTGTTTCGCACGTATAATGCATCTAAAAATATGATTGCGTTGATAATAATGTAATGAAGTATATATACGTACATACATGTACTCTTAATGAAATTCAACTAGAAAAAGCCTCGAGGTTATTTTCACTTTCGATCATTTTAACCGGCTGCAATATTTTTTTTTTTAATATGATACCGGACAACTTTGGACCATGTTAAACGGTTACGGTAATTCTTTTTTATCGCAAAGGTGGTCACAACCTAATTTCGTTTAATGCCGATCATTGAATAAAATTTGAATATGTATGAGCTTTGAAGTCGGCTGTTTTTTTTTCTTTAAAAATTACTTGTTATAACACGTCATGTATAATTAAATTAATGGGGTAAAATAGTCCACATATGTACTAAAAATGCCGCTAACTCTCACTATTACTGAAGTCAGTTTATGCTTGTTTAGTCGAATTTGTGACCAGCGTTGCCAGGTTAACGGTTTTAACTTAATTTTGACATATTTTTCTTGTTGCCTGTTGAACTTAGGTCACTGGTTGAGTCAAATATAAGGTTTTTGTCAGATCCAGGAAATTAACAATGGAAAGTTTTCGGAAAACAATTTATGTATTAAGCGAGCATTTCTGGTTCGTTCAAGATTCATTTTGCAACTAACATTTTACCAAATTTTTCAAATATGAATTTAATTCAAAATGTGATCCGTCAAAAAGACGTAAATTTTTTATGCAACTCAACACCAAAATTATAATATTAGTTTCGTGACGAAAATTATACGCATTTTTTAACTTGCAACAGCTCTGTTTTTTGTTTTGTGTTTTTAGCAGTAAACGGAAATTCGCAACGTTCCGAATAAATAAAAAAAGATTTTCCATACGTTTCAAAGGCAGTTAAAAATACGTTTAATTTTCGTCACGAAATTGATATAATAAATTTTGTGTTTCTAGTTCAGCTTTCGGCACTCGAAATTTTACCTCAGAGAGGTGTTTTATTTCATATCAATTATTTTGGGGTAGCAAATTTAAAATCGACGAAAATACAAACAATAATCTAAATGTTTTATTTTTATCAAATAAATTGCTAAAAATATTAGCTAAACCTAAATTATGTATTCAAATCGATGTGTTCATTAAAACATATAATTTTTCGAATACGGAATAAAGCGAAAAAGAATGAGCATATCCTTTTTATTCGAAAAAATTAAAAATAAAAAAAATAAATTATGAGAAATGATAAAAACTTATCAACTTGGTACCAGCTTTGGATACAATAAACAACTGTATTCGTCTGATTGTCTCGTAGTTTATTTTTGATAAGATTTCTACCGTTTGTGGGTTTTTTAAGATGTTTTACTTCTATCACGTGTACGATGTTGCACTCGTGCTATTAAACTAATGCAGTTTTCTCAAGTAGTTTTGCTCAGTGGCAATTTATACATATGTATGTAAGTAGTAGCGGCACATTGGGTGAACTAAATGCATTCATACATACATATTTATGTACAACTGTAGGTAATATTGTATGCGTCTTCCCAGGTAGGTTAAGTGCGGGTGATAAACCCATATAGCATAGTTAAATTTGTGTACATACCTGCAATTAAAATGGGGAAAATGTTGCAATTTCGGCATGTGACTGAAAAAAACTCTAAAATATACACAAATTGTAGTTTTCTTCAACTTGTCAACTCGCGGGAAATTCCACGGTTTGCAGGGAATTTCGGTTTAAGTGGCAATCGGGAAATGGGCAATTTTTTCCGGAGAACTTGGTATGTTATTTTTATATCTTAAAGTAACCAAATCAGACGGACATGTTAATTTTTAACCATTTGACCCTTTTTGGAGCGACATTTTTTCAATTTGAATCGCAATAGCTATATACCAGATAAAAGCTAAGGTTTTGGGCTAGGTTTGCGGAAACATAGTATAAAATCGATGACCAGTTTTGAAGAAAATGGCCGAAATGTAGTTTTTCAGCAGCCCGATTTTTAGTTTTCAGGCGATAACGTTATGACATATTTATATTTGATAAACACGAAAGATAGTGTCCGATAGCTTGTTTGAAGACCCTTCTACTGATATCCACATCAATGACATGGACTGAGTAGTGCGGCCTCAGTGGTTATTTAAAAAGTCGCCTTTTTTCGAATTTCAGGCAGCAGCCACGCCCAGAAAGGCATAAGAATCAAACCATCCTGGAACAAAACCTTCTTAGTTTTTTTTTGGACTTTAATTCCTGAAAGTTTGAAAAAAATGAAATGAAGGTACGTACAGACGCCACTACATACCAAAGCATCTCGTAGTGGAGACGCGAACCAAAACACATTTAGCTCTATATCTTTCCAATTAGTAGCCGGAACTTAATATATAAGGTATAGTTTGAAAGGTATTGGCCTATAGAATAACACTAAATATGTTGGGTGTACCCACATGCCCCCTTTGTTTCGCAGCACTTTAGCCTAATTTTTAAGAATCCGTTTAATCGTTTGTGAAGCTTGAATACATTTTCTGGACACACTCTGCAATACCTTTCCAACGATATCTCAAACATGTCGATTGGACGTCTGGATAAAAACTTCCAAATCTAGTGTATATGTACATATACATATATAGCGAGTAATTTCAGCGTGCTACTGTGACTGCTTTCGTCACCCGCGCGCACCGCCGTGCGCTGTGTTAACTGTTACGGCCCTCGTTTGAACAGAGTAGTTTTAATGAAAAAAATAAAACTTTCGTAAACAATTTTTTTATTGAATGAATGTTTTTAGAATATGTACGTACTTATTTTATTGCTTCCTTTATTATTATTATTATCAATTTTATCTCCTATTGCAGATCTCATAAAAACTTTAAAATCTTACTTGTATGTCTCAAGCTGTGTACAACGGTAAGTTACAAAATAATTTTATTTTTGTAGTAAGAAATTTTATTATTATTGAATATGTGTATGAGCATTTTTGTTACTATATTTTTCTACTTTGGCCTACAAACCAAGACTCCCACTAGAAAAGTTCATATGATCATAAGAAAAAGCTCTGCCAAAATTTCCGAATTGGAAATCATTTTACAAAGTGTAAAATATTTTCTACCCAAATAATCCAAAAAATTTGAAACAGAGAGCGAATTCGAGAGTGTAACAACCCGAGAGAGTTGCAAATTCTTGCATGCAAAAATTTTACTAGCATTACTTTACTTAGTATGTTTTGTTTACATTTTCTGTTGTAATTTGTGTGAGGGTGACTACCGGTGGGTCACGTGGCACCTAACACATACATGTATATAAGTAGTGCCGTGTTACCCACCAGAGGTCACATCAGTACTTTCAACCGGTGTGACACACCGGTGGTGTACATGGCAGTGAACGTGTTGAGCACCAGTTTTTCAGTGCACGACTGTAGTTTAAACTTAGTTTAAACGGTCGAGCTGGCTGGTTTAAACTTAGATTAGCCAATCAAATGTCAGCCAGCTGTTGAGGATAAACGCAGTTTTCGTTATCTAAGTTTATGCTTGCCCTGAAAACCAGGCCCTAAGTGGATGATTTAATGAAACAAATTTAGTGAAATGAAAATATGGATGAACAGCTTAAACCTAATGTATATTTTTTGATTTGTATCACGATGGGAGATACTATTCCCAATCAAAAAGAAAATTGCACGCCAAAATTCAATCATCAGAAAGTGTAAAAAATGGCGTTAACTGCAAGTTTTTCCTAGTTTTGCGTTCAGTAACTTTTTCGGACAATTTTCTATTCCTCTCTATTTTGCTATATATTTTCACTGTACGCTCTCGCTGTAAATACTTACTGGAAAAGTTATTGAATGGACCTGACATGTTTTAGTGGCACTTAATGTGCTACTACCTGCAATTTTGAAATCTGCCTGAATAAAACTTTTCAAAATTTAAAATTTACCGCAAAGAATTACATACGTACACATGTATGTATGTATATACTTAGCTTCAAAACTATAGGATATATGAAAATGTTGTAGACATATTGGAGATCGGCACGCAATAATTCATTAATTAATTTTGCACAATTTATTATAATCATGCACAATTTTAGGATTTAGCGTAACTTTCGGGCGTCTCTGGTATGTCTTCCGTTATCCAATTTTGAAAATTCTTTGCAGGATAATCATTCTGACCAAATGATTTTTTTTTATAATTTTCACATAACTTTAAAATTCAACTCAATTCAAATAAGTATAAAAATTAATCAACATTATTTTTGCAACATACATCATGAATTTAGCTTTAAATATACCAGTGCTTAAACTTTTTCATATTTCAGAAATCCGCATATTTATATTTACTAAGGTAGTATGCAATAAAAAGGAATTCTTTGTTCCATCCTACGATTTAATTAAACAGGACAACACTGCTTGTGCTTATTACAAATCCCCAAGTATAAAGTTCTCATCAGGTCCATATTTTAAGAAATCAAAAATGTTAAGAAATCACATTTTTTGCGATATCTGAGAAACTCTAGCAAAGAATGAAAAGCTGATAGAACTTCACCTTAAGCTTAAATTAAGCTAAAACTCTCGATTACAGTCCCTTTAAATACCATCCCTGCACTTTGACCTGATGATCACTTATAGTCATTTATTGAACGATAACAAAATACTGGTGTATTGTGCTATTGAAAAAAAAAAATTGGGCCAAGATCAGTTTTTACTGTTCACCAAATGACTATAAGTGACCTTAGGGTCAAGGTGTAGGGATGCTATTTGCAGGGATCGTAGGTGAAAGTTTAAGTTCTAACTAAAGTCTATCTAAATGGTTCTATCATTATTTGTTTATTTGCCAGAGATTCTAAAATATTGCAAAAAAGCGATTTTTTAACACTTCGACCTCGTTTTCCTCAAAATCTGGAACTGATGGAAACTTTATACTTACGGATTCGAAATGAGCATAAAAAGTCTATCAAAAACAGCTTTAAAAATTACCGCACCAAAATTGTTTCCATTTTTGTAGGCCTGTAATATACATACGTGTATATTTTATGAACATACAACATAATAAAATGGGTTGCTAGTCAGAATTGTAGACATTTTAAGTCCGGCAAAACATGCACGAATACTTAGTTCTTAATTACATAGTATATGTTTATACGACATATGCACATATGTATAACGGCACCATAACTAATAAGCATATGAATTGAAAAATCTACGACACCTTATTTAGATCTACCACACTTTTTTGTCGATTCTACCACACTAAAATAAAAAGGGGTTTGCACACTGATTCTAGTGCCACTTTGATGAAATGGTTGAAATGGTTCCCAATTTCACATTTATCTTGGTAATCTTCTGTTTTTGAAAGTAATTTACCAATTTCATATCGAAAAAAATAATACCTTTTGAGGAGGTCTTTTTACTCTTTGGGGAGGATGGAAGATATTTCGTATGTTTTTTCGGCGTCATTTTGCAGAACTTTCTTTCTCCTTCTCAGGAACTTTAGAACTATTGAAAGGCTACTCAGAACAGAATAAATTTTTTATTTTTTATTTTTATTTAATTTCTTTCTCCTTCTCAGGAACTCTAGAACTATTGAATAGCTACTCAGAACAGAATAAAATTTTTATTTTTTTTTTTATTTAACGTTTTCGACTTTTTCGAAAAAAGTGTTTTTTCGGCGTGATTTTGCAGAACTTTTTTTTTCCTTTTCAAGAATTCTAGAACTATTGAAAAGCTGCTCAGAACAACTTCTTATTTGCCTTTTTGCCACACATCGTATGCTGCGTGAATCTGGCATACCCAATTTTCAAATCAATTTTGTTTGTGAAAATATCCAGAACTTTTTTCCCCCTTTTCAAGAATTCTAGAACTATTAGAAAGCTACTCAGAACAATTTTTTTTTTCGTTTTGCATCATACCGTATGTTAACTTCCCAGACATTGTACGTATGTAGTTTGTCTGTCGAGTGTCAGACTAGTGGCTTTCGTGGCAGACTCATACGCTATTTCATTACCCTCTATTACGTTGTGCGGCGGCTAGCCTGTCAATGGCTTCCCTCCTAAGAAGGACATTTTTGGACGAAATACAATATGGGGTAACTGCCTTCATTGCCGCCCAACTGTCTATTTATAGGCTTACTTTGGAATTAATTGTCCTTTCGGTGTACGCTAGCTCTGCTGCTATCCTCAATGCGAAACCGTCTGCTTGATATATGCTCCAATGGTCAGTTCCCAGAAATCAATCCCGTATTATACGTACGCACGCATTTCTTTTGCCTTATTTCTCTATATTAAAATAATACCCTTTTGTACTAATATGCGTGATTGTTTCATGCGTCGTAGTTGTTTCGACTGTCGCTGAGTGACGTTTTTGTCCTATTTTTATCTGATTGGCTTCCCCGCGCACTTGTTATCTGTGACGTCATACGCTGGAATTTGAAATGTATGTACATATGTATGTATGTATGTAGCGTTGCGCTTTTGCACCTCTTTGGTGAATATACCACTCTAGTACGTTATCAATTTGAAAATAATTTCGACTGCGTATCTTAAATCATAAATAAATACTCAAAACTACTTAGAACAATGCGAAAATTGAGTTAAAACACATAGAGGGAGGGAAATACAAAGCATAAAAGAAACGTAGAAACTAAAACACTTTTAGTTAGTAAACATGATTCAGATTTGGTTTTAATAGGTCAACGAACTTATTTGAACTACTTTTTCGAGTACCCATATTTATGTACATATGTATGTATGCACATTAGGGGTGTCCTTAAAAAATCAAATGAACGATTTTCCTCAATTTCACCCCCTCAAACGGTTATACCACGGTCGCAGATATCGCACATAAATCTTGGTCCCAATTGGAGACCGTTAAGGCGTGTCTCATAGGGTGCAAATTTGGGATTCCTTTATAGAAACTCGAAAAATTAAAACTAATTTTTTGTCATCTAATTCTCAAAATCGATACAACTATAGTCGAAGATATCTCATACACATTTTGGCCCCGATTGCAGTCTGTCAGTCTGTTAAGGCGTGTCGCACATGGGTCAAAGTTCAGGTTACCCTATGATGACGTATTAACCAACTCTAATCGGGACCAAAATTTATATGACTATAGCAGTATCGATTTCCAGTATTACATGAAAAAAAATATATATTAATTTTTTGAGTCTCCATAGAGGCATCTGACATTTGGCCCCTTTGCGACACGCTTTAACCGGCCTCAAGCGGGACCAAAATTTATATGTGATATCTTCGACTATGGTAGTATCAGTTTAAGGTATGAGATGAAAAAAAAATTAGTTTTGAGTTTCTATAGAGGAATGAGAACTTTGAACCCTATGCGACACGCCTTAACGATCTTCAATTAGGACCAAAATTTATATGTGATATCTATGACCATGTTATTACCGATTGAGGGGGTGATGCTGAAAAAAATCGTTCATTTGATTTTTTAAGGACCACCCTAATGAACATGCGCACGTTTTATTAGTTTCTTTATTTTTGTTTCATTGTTTCCTATGCCAACTGATTCAATATTTTTTTTTATTTATTTTTTATTACATATGTACATATGTATAAATACATATACATATGTATGTATATGTAAGCAGATAGTGCGTAGGTTTTTAGGTGCTAAAACAGCAAGACGACTGGAATGCTGTAGCTTTATTCCTATCGCAAATTAAGATCACATGCGAGTATGTACCTGAATAAATTCGTGTAAGTACATATCGCTCATTTACTTCAATAGTGTCATAACTCAAAAACGCAAAACTCAAGAAAAACGGCTTTAAAGTTTTAAATTTACATATATATGTATGTATATGTAAAATACATATTTTGTTCAAGTGAGATACTGGTAATCTATGCATCGGTAATTTCTACATTCTTAATTTAATATTTGCATTGTTTTGGAATAAGACACTATTGAAGTAAATGAACGATATGTACATATAACATTTTGCATTATACATTTATACGTAAAGACTAGTTTTCCATGCATATATGTATACTAGGGTGCCTAGTTCAACAAAGCACGCCAGTCGTTTCTTTCTGTGCGAACTGACGCCAACTGGAAGCCAAGTCCTTCTTTACCTGGTCTCCACCAGCGGGTTCCGAGTTGAATACTTCAGAGCTGGAGCGTCGGTGTCCATTCGAACGACGTGGCTAAGCCAGCCGAGCCGCTGTATTTTAATTCGCTGCATTATGTCCATATCATTGTAAAGCTCATACAGCTCATAGTTCCATCGTCTACGGTACTCGCCGTCGCCAACGCGTAAAGGCCCGTAAATCTTCTGCAAAATCTTTCTCTCAAATACTCCAACAACCGCCTCATCGGACGTTGTCATTGTCTATGCTTCTGCGCCATATGCAAGCACGGGTATGATGAGTGACTTTATAGTGTGGTTTTCGTACGTCGGTCAAAAGTAGCACTTGTTGGCAGGAGTGATTCTGCGTTGGATTTCTATGCTGGCATTATTATCGGTGTCAATGCTAGTTCCCAAGTAAACTAAATTCTCTACTTCTCGAAATTATAACTGTCAACAGTGACGTGGGTGCCAAGGCGTGAATGTGCTGATTGTTTGTTTGATAACCAGACTCATTCGTTTTGCTTCCTTATCTAACTTGGAAAAGGCATATCGATGTCATCGGCATAGGCCAGCAATTGCACGCCGAGTTTAAAAATTTTCAATATGACGCGCTTCAATATGGTGCTTGGGTGCAATTGTTTACGTTTGTTGAATTTTTATAATTTTTGTAAGAAGCTTGAAATGTGGATTTATGTATGTACGTGTTGCTGTCTATGTAATGTGCTAGACTTTTATAAGAAAATAATAATACTAATAGATTGGCGCTTACACATATGTATGTTAGTGTTTGGCAGAAAATTATAAACACTAAATAAACAAAAGAAAAATAACCAAAACTGGTCAAAATGTCACTTAACTCAATCAGTTGACCACAAGCATTTGACTTTCAAACAGTTGGCAACCCGCTTCAGAACATTTTCAATATAAAGCTTTTCATTTGCCGTCCATGTTGTAATATGTACTTCATTCAACTTATTAATAAAATTGAATGCGCCTTTTTATATAGAAGGTAATCCTCCTAAGAATATTTTCTTAATTGAGCCTTTTAAATTTCATTCGTTTGGCATCAGAAAACGTCCCCCTTGGTCTAAAAAAACATCATTTTCTACCCAGAAACGTCTTTTTCAAATGCGTGCTCAAAGAATTGTTCTTATTAAACTTTTATTGTATACAAAGGTACATAAGTATGTTTGTAAAGTATAGTAAAATGTCATTTCGAAAGAGCACATTTACAATTCATTGTAAACTGGTTTGAGATCGTTAATATAACAATCATTTTATACATACACTTCTGATCAGCTGTTTATC